ATAAAATATAACCAATAAGAATATAAGATTTTAACGGCACATGACTTTATGATTTAGTGAAAATCTAAATCATAACAATATATATTTATATATAATTGTGCATATATTTATACATATTTGTGCATATATTTATGTATATTTGTATATATATTTATATATGTTTATTTATTATATTATAGATATTGATCTATATTATTATTCGAATTAGATGGTAACTATAAAGTGATTTTTTTATTATAATTAATATATATTATGAAAATTATTTAATAATGATAGTAATTATAAAGGGAATGTAACTATATAGAGATTTTTTTATTAATTAAAAATTTGGAAAAGCAAAATTGAATAATTATAGAGAGGTATAATTATAAATGAGTGTGACTATAGAGGAGTTTGATTATATAGTTTGAATCTTCTTTATCAATTATTAATATATTACTAGAAGAGCTTTTCAAGTTATTTAGCTTACTTGATAATTAATTAATATCTGTAGGATTTTCTACTTCTATATTTAACATTATTTACATATATTTCTGTATAAGATGAAAGAATATTTATTATATTTTTATCAATATTCTCACTTGTAATAATATTTTTATTAGTATTCATATAATAATTATTAGAATTGAAATATTTATAATTTAATAAATTATCATAGTAACAAATGTCCTTATCTTTTTTATTAATTGTTTTTGTTATTTTAGTTTTAGTATTATATTATTAATATTGATAAAAAACACAAGATAACTATTACGTAAATTTAAAAAATAATTATTATGAACAAAAAGATAAGTGCATAGACTTGAAAAAGAATTATATGAGTAAGAAAATAATTATTTATACTTAAGAATAAGTTATTATGAACAAGAAGTTAATATATTAATTTTAGAAAGGAATTTACAAATAAAGTGATAATTAAAAAAATTTTGTAATAATGATAAATATAAGAAAAAAACTAACTCAAGTAAAATATATAAAAATCAAAGCTTATTTTTTATAAAAAATTATTTTTAATATTTTATGAAAATAATAAAATTTTAAAGAAAAAAAATAATACTATGATTTGCAAATAACATTATATAATAATAAAAAAATTTGTAATTTGTTTGATTTTACTTTAAAATGAACTAAGTTCTAATAGATATAACAAAATATAATTTAGATCTTTGTAAACTATATATTTAAATAAAAAAATAACTTAGTAATACTTACTAAATTATAAAAAAAATTGGAAAATAACAAAAAGAAAAAGAAAATTTTTTGTCATTTTATTATAAACTTTCCTATATTTCATATTAATTTCTTGTAAAAATATATTAGTATTCAAATTTACATAATATTTTTTCTAATCAATATATTTATAACTAATATATGAATTTATATTTATTAATTATTTATTTATTTATTTGCTTGCTTATTAGATTTTTTCAATAAAATATAAGATATTTATAATTCAATAATACAGTCTGATATTTTATTATAAATAGTATTTTACTATAAATAAAATAATTAATTCAGAAATATTTTATAATTTTCTAAAAAAAATTTTAAAATAACCTGATTAATTAACTTTAATGTAATATTTTTTAAATTAAATTTTTAACTATTAAAATAGATATATTTAAATATGTATTTTCAAAATATTAACTAATTTTTTTAAAATCAATTTTTAAAATTTTTTAAATATAATAAAATTTTTAATTAATCAAATTTTTAATTTTTATTTATTATTTATTCTTTTTTAAAAGAGCACCAAATATTAGATGATTCTTTAGGGGGTTATTGTCGATCAGCAGGTTCTACAATATTATGGCTCATCTTGATCAGGGGATGTCTCCCCTTACTAACTATAAAAATTGGTTGACAATTATTGTTATGGACTGGTTTTATAACGATAATTTTCGGCTAGAGCTAAATTAGTTGTGGAATTAAATCCGCCCATATGGATGGAATTTTATATTATGTTCCGCAACTTTGCACATAAACAAAAAGTTCGCTACTCGTTAAATCAAGCCAAATTTTATTAAAACCATACCATATAATAATAAGTGTGTATTGGCTCTTTACCACTAAAGTGCGAGATTAGTTAGCGTTAAATCACATAATCGCCAAATCGAAATTGCAAAAATTTTAGAAACGATAACAATAAGTAATCAAACATGAAATATCTACCCAATTTTGGTTTTTCATTCACATGCAAAGTTTATGAAATTTCGTCCTATGACGATTATCAACTTACCCAGAAAGCTACTTTGATTGATGGGAATGGTGGTTTTCAGAACAAGAAGAATTTACCAATGAAAAATCCAAAAATCTTCACATGTATTCTATTCTATCTATTAGATTGATCCTTAAACGTTAAAAAACTAGTCCGTACATCTCTTGTGTCTAAAGTGTTAGATAATAAGATAAAGATTTTGGAACGTTTCAAATTTGGATTTATATCTATCTATTCCATCCCATTTCACAATATAGTTATATTTTTCAACAATACAAAAAAGCAATCACAGAAAAGGAAGGAAAAATAAAAAATGCGCCTCATCATACGAAAAGACTATGATCAAGTCAGCGAATATATGGGTACATCAATTATATTGATCAAATCTATATATGCTTGAACCAATTAACTAGAAAAATGATATTTTAATTATGACAACAGCTTCGTACATCAAGAAACGTATTCTAGAATTCAAACCAACTCCAAACCGACCATTCGTTCTTGGCCTTCCGACAGGCTCATCGCCAATTGGCACATACAAGAAACTGGTGGAGTATCATCGAAAGGGCGAGTTATCGTTTCAGGACGTGATCACTTTCAATATGGATGAGTATGTTGGATTGCCGAGGTAATATATTACCATATTTGTTTGCATATCACGTGACTTTTCTAACGACCAATAATTCATGAAAATCGTAAATTGGCAAATTATAAAGGGACCATCCAGAAAGTTATCACTCGTTTATGTGGAACCATTTTTTCAAGTACATTGACATAAAACCGCAAAATGCTCATGTTCTGAATGGGAATGCGAGTGATTTGGATGCTGAATGTTTGCAATTTGAGGAGAAGATCAAAGCTGTTGGCGGTATTGAATTGTTCTTGGGAGGTAAAAAATTGATTTGTTGATTCAATTTTTTTTTTATTATCAAATCTTAATATATATATATGATCAAAATAAAAAAAGGAATTGGCCCTGACGGTCACATAGCATTCAACGAGCCTGGATCTTCCCTAACATCAAGAACACGTGTAAAGACACTAGCGTACGACACGATCATCGCGAACTCGCGTTTCTTTGATGGTGATATCAGCAAGGTTCCGCGAATGGCGTTGACTGTCGGTGTTGGGTTCGTGTCAAGCTTTTTGGAACTTGATCCCGTTCTTATTCTCATTATTTGTGCATGTATTTGTGGATTGACAATTTAAATTTCGAAATTCGAAATTATGTCAAAGAATAGAACAGTGATGGATGCACATGAAGTCGCTGTTATCATAAGTGGTGCTCATAAAGCTCTCGCATTGGCTAAATGCATCGAAGAAGGTATTTTTCTAATAACCAACTTATTAAAAATCACCCATGCATAATAATAATAATAATAATTATTATTATTATTATTTATTAGGCGTGAATCACATGTTTACCGTCTCCGCAATCCAATTACACCCGAAAGCTTTGATTGTGTGCGACGAAGATGCCACGCTTGAACTCCACGTGAAAACAGTGAGATATTTCACAAATATCGAGAAGGTGCAAGCCGAGTTGATTGGATTGGAGAATGTTGGATTGCAAGGTAATTATTTTCATTTATGATTTAATTTTTATTTTTGAATTGATTAATCATATGTTAATACAATTTAAAAAAAAAGGCGGAATCAAAAAATACTCTACTCCCGTTCCGTCTCCTGTTCGTGATCAGTTCTACGGGGTCCCTTTCAAAACCCCTTTCAAAAAAGAATGATTTTTATTATGTTTGATACTTGTAAGATAATTTCTTAGTATATATATATATATATAAAATAAACAAGTAAAATCACGACTCTAAAATTAAATATTTGTCTATTATGGATATTTTCATTCTTTAATGTTATTTTATTCCTAATCCTATCATTAATATTACATTGCGAAACAAACCAGATCGACTGGCGAACATCGAATTTTTTTGATGATGATTTTGAAACCCGAAAAAGTTTTCACGCGTGCGCTCGTACCTTGCTTTTTTATCCGAATTCATTAATGTGGTAATAATTTGTTTAGTTCTTTTTATTAAGGCACACACGCGAAAACTCGCTCGGAACATGATAAAATAAACAAGAGGAAGATATAAAAAGAATGATATTAAGCACAAGTATTTGTGCTTTGGCTTTTTAAAAATAAAAACCGAAAGAAAAAAGTAACCTAACGTATTTTCGTTGAAATATTTTGCGAGTACGATAAATATATATTAAATATATATTTTGTGTATGTATATATATGTATGTATGTATGTATGTATGTATGTATGTTTGTATGTATGTATGTTTGTATGTAAGGATGTATATGGGAAAGTGTATGTAACAAAAACTATGTATGTATATAATAATAAACCGGGAAATGAAAAATATAAAAAATTACGACTCTACCAATATGCTAATATAATGCCGTAGTTGGTATTACTCTAGGGTATCCAAGCATACAGCACACTGATCCCCGTAAAAGTATCATGAATGAAATCATAATTATGACATCCAGTTTTGTTCACTCGGTTATCGATTAATGTAGCAATCAGTGTCGTCAAAAAAGAAAAAATTTACAAAAGTAGAAAAGAAATAAAGATTCACCCACACCCACATCGCGTATAATCTATACGCCACCAGCGCATAATCATAATAATAAGACCCAAACCCACCATTTTTTAAAATTACACAGAAAAATAAACTTTAATGTCTGATGTCGCTTGTTACTACTAATATTCAGAAAAACAGAGAAAAAGTCCTTTATTTTAGTTCAATCAATGGATTAGATATATTGGTTTATCCCAGTAAATCATGTGTGTTTTGATTTTGTGACTTGTTTGATAGTGATCCCGCCGATGGGTTTATCGAGTGGCTCTGCTGAGGATGTACTGGAGAATAGATAGAAGCCGCTGTTTGTGAAATCTGAGAATTATTTGTCATCGTCGACAAGATGTTATTCTGAGACAAAATTCGTTTTTGCTTCTCCATTTCATTCAAACTCAGCTTTGTTATATTACTACTATTACTATTAGTAGAGCTATGTCTACTTGCGGACAAGTCAACTGGTGATTCACGGCCCGACTGTATTTTTGAATTAGAAACAACTGACGCGTATGTTGCTGTGCCATTCACCAAGCTGCCGGATTTAGCTTGTCCGTTGTGTTTGGCTAAATTTTGCAATTCAGCAAGCTGTCGTTCGGACATTTCAGCGATAAGTCCATCAGGATCTGATTTTATGATACTCGGAGTAAGGGTTCGTAGTGGGAGAGTATTAGTAGGAGTTAAGGCTGATGATGAAATTGTATCTTGTTGCTGATGCTGCGACATAGTTTGAGATGTTAATATTTGCAGTGATGAAATACTAGACGATGATGTGGCTGATGATAAAGGATTATTCGGGACAGCAGTAGATGGAAGCGATAATGGTAAATGTGAAGAAGGAATTGTTGCTGCTGTTGGCAGTAATGAAATTGTATTAATGGACGACAATTGGTTTTTTGTTGAAATAGAATGAGAGGAAGAAGTAGACGTTGTTAGTGGTTGACGACCATTCAATCCATTCAGTCCGGCAGTGTTTTCTACAGATGTCGGTGTCATTGATTTCGGTATTATAGGAAGAGCAGGAGAGGAAGATGAAAATGAGGCTGACGATGCAACCGATAGATTTGGTACATGAGGCATCGAATTAATTCTCGGTATAGTTCCCAAATTATCATGATCACTTGTATTTATTTGAGGTCCTAATGAAGGTGTTGATGTCAAGGAAGGTAAGCCATTTATTTGTGTATTGTTATGTTCGGTGGACGGACGATTCATTTTCGGTGAACTTGCTGGTGACTTTGGAACATTAACACTACTCTTAGATTGATGATGACTTTTATATTTTTGCTTTCTTTCACCCATTAATTTCACCCATTCTCGAGTATGTTTCTTCTGTAGTTCTTCGACTTCGCGTTGCTGTTTTTCTCGAAGAGCTAATAAGGTGTTTGCGTCCTCATCATCATCACTTGTGTCAACTTCTCCAGCATATGTGGGAGGCTCTCCTTGATATGTAATTGTTCCATAATTTAGGCCAAAAGATGGTGGATAATGATGCTGAGATTCGGGTAGACCATGCGAAGAATAATTCTCGGTAGGTGAAACAGTCGATGAACTCGGAATGCTCGTTACGCCCTGCAGAACGGAAGGAGGTAATGAAACTCCCGGGAAGAATGAAGTTGAAGAACTATTTGATGTCCCATGTCTAAATTTAGACGTGTACCCATGCTCAGTTTGTATTCCCAGACCTGCACCCAGATCTGTCATCTCCTCTTGTGGTACTCTTTGCTGGTTATCTTGTCGTTGTTGTGATATTAGAGCGCGAGTATCAATAGCTAGTTCTGATCCAGCTTCTTTTGTTGCAGAATGTGCAGACGAATGCGAGGTTGTGGAGGATATTGAAGATCTTCTTACGCGTTCTACATGTGTTGTTGAATAACCATTCGTTAGACTAGATGAAGTATCTGGTTGTATAGGAGTGGAGGAGACAGGATTGGACATTCTTCGTTGCCAATCTTGTAACTTCGTTGGAGGTGCACCGGGAGAATGTGACCCGGGAAAACTGACACTTCTACCGTAATTAGCTCTTGGAGATTCAGGATTGTAAAATGATGGATTTGGTGAAGCAGGCGTAAATGCAGAATTTTCCATATTTGACTCAGTTATCGGCGCAGTTTGTGATCGTGTTAAACCTTGATTTGTATTATGAACTGAAGATTGATAACTGTCATTCCATAGTCCATTCGCATCAGATGCCACTGAAAGTGGACGAGAGAACGTATTTCTGGGAGATGGTGGCATTTTCAAGTCAGTATTATGAAGTTCCTTTTCTGTCGATGGAAGTTGAAGGTTTCCAGGGTGAGTAGATAATGATTCTGGCCATTGAAAAGGTGTAGTGGTGCCAGATCGATTGAATGTGGAAGGAGATAATGGAGGTGCACCATTACTATTTGACAACGCTGATATTGAAGCAGAACGAACTCTTGATGATAGTTGTGCAGGTCGTGCAACAACAGGTGACGCTGTAGTTGTAAGAGGACGACTTCCAGCACGATCAAGTATTGGCTGTGTGTCTATTGACGGTGGTAGCCCTATCGCAGCAATAGACTCATCAGTCGAGTCAACAATTGCAGTTGTATTTTTCAATAATTCTGCATTATGTAAAACTCGTCGAACTTCGTTATCCTCCCGTTCCCATGACGTTTTGGCAGATGAGGCATGAGTTAAACTCTCCGAAGACGACGACATATCCTTTAAAAAACATGGTTGTATTCCATTCACATTTTCAGATGACGATGACAATGACATTTCAGAATGGAAACTTGAAGATAAATCTCCATTAGCTCTAGAAGCTTTAATTTTTTGTCCCAATTCATCGTCGGTTTCGTGCGAACTATCATAATCACTCCTGGCGACAGATGGAGCTCTCGATCCTCTTGTACTACCATTCAAATGCTCAGAATCATCATCCATAGATTGTGTTTTAATCGAAAGTTCACCCGACAAAATCTTATTCACAATATCCTCAATGTTTTTCTTTGCCAAATCATGTCCTTCCTGACTCAGAATCTGTTCTCTCACCATTTCTGCCACGACATCTTCGGGCGTGTCATCACACAAATTAAACGGAAACTTTATTTCTACATCTGTACGATCAGGCACGACAATTGTCATGGCGAGCAAGACTTCATTTTCTGCGGGTTTAAATTTGTTCGACTGTCTTTCTTTTTCAGTTGGCTTATATATTGCAACGTTACATTGCATCGGTGTCTGTCGAGACAATGTTTGGTTACCTGGGAGATTCGTTATTGATTGAACATTCTCCTCACTTTTATTACTTTTACTATTGCCATTACTAGTGGTGGTAGACGGTGGAAACGTTGCAGAACTGACCTGATATGTTTTGTTCTCAGAGTCGATTGTCTTTGTGGTGAACGGTGGCGGCATTAAATTCTTATTTGATAATGAAAATGATGACGAGATTTTTGGTAGCTGTTTTTGGTCAGAATTTAACACAATATTATTACTACTACTGCCAATGCTACTAATGCTACTAATGCTACGAATACCATTAATAAACTTCGTATTATTGTTGTCGTCGTCTGTGATTTCATTTTTTATAATTTTTTCTTCTGGCCGATGTTCAACCGATGCAGAACCCGCTTGTTGCGACGTTGGAGATTTAGGCGGGGACAGAGTAACAGACCGCGGAACTGTACCGCCATTGACACTGCCCCCACTCTGATCAACACACGCCTCTTTCAAAAATTCATGTTTCAACAACTCCCCAGCTGACGGCCGTTCATCCGGGTTATACCTCAAGCATAACTCTATAAACTCTAACGTCGCAGGATCCTTGACTTTTTGCAGCGCCTGTGGTTTTATCCCCGTGGTGACCTTTCGATAGATTTGTGCTTGGTTCGTACACTCGGCGTACGGATACTCTTTGGTGACTAGTTCGAGTACGCACATACCGAAAGCGTAAATATCCACTTTTTCATTGTATTTCTCCTCGTATAATTCGGGAGCCATGAATTCGGGCTATTATTATGGATGCGTATGTGTATATAGATAGGGGATGATGGATAAAGAGAGATGAGGGAGTGACGAAAGAAAAAAAATTAAATGCCAAAGTGAAATAACATATTCTGTCAAAAAGTTTTTTTGCAATATAAAATGTCAAAGATAGATTATAGACCATCATCGGTCATCAAAAACACAAGCACAAAAAAATTCTTTCAATAATGACATAGAGAATCGGATGCGAAAAAAAAGAAACAACAACTACTACGAATCGCAATAATAAAAAAGGTTTTTGGGGAATACTACCGTTCCGAGTACCGACGACGCATGATCTTTGTTTTTTATGATAGCCAAACCGAGATCGCCAATCTTTGCTTGACCGTTATTTCCATTAATGAAAATATTATCGCACTTTAAATCCCGATGAATAATAGGCGGTTCACGCGTATGCAAATAATCAAGCCCTTTGAGGATCTGTCTCGCCCAAGTTTTCAGTACTTTAGGCTTAAGTTTGGTTTTACGTAGATACTGTTTCAAAGTGCCCGAGGTCATCAGCTCCGTGACAAAGAACACTCGTTCTTTACCGTCAGGGCCCTTCTTCAACCAAGACGCATAAAAATTGATAATGTTTTCGCAGCGAAGTGACTGTAAAATCTCAATTTCTCGTTGAATCTTTTCCGCGTCTTTTTTCTTTGAAAAGTGCAACCGTAATTGACACCATGCCACCTCAACACCTTCTTCTTGGTCGAACGCTTTAAAGACCTCTTTATAGGCACCGACGCCCAGCGACTCTTCGAACCGTTCAAACCGACCGGTCGGGTCGGTGTCTACGACCTTGGGGTGGTCGTCATCTTCCTCGTCATTATCCCCACTCTTCTCATCGTGTGGATACGTGGCTGCCGAGGTGGCAGAGTAATTGGACATTTGGGTGATACTGCTGTTAATTGTTTTGGATAAATTTTGGCGACGTGGTTCGCAAACTGCGAGTGATTGAATTGTGTGGTGGTTGTAGTTGGGTTGTATTGTAAAAGTATGGATTTATTTACTATTGTTCGAGGGTGTGCAAAAAAATTTACTATTCGAGTGGTTGTAAAAATGTTAAATAGAATCGATTACGATAGGTCCGCAGAGATATATAGTATATTCAAAAATGAGAAAATTTGAATTTTTAAACTTAGTAAATACAAGAAGAATAATAATAATAATATTATTATTATTACTTAGTGGGTGGGGTATTTGAACACCCTATAAAATGACGGACACACCAACCTTACATGAGCACTGCTTTTTGATAAACAGGATCGACGACGACAACAACTTAAAGGGCCCTCTATCATTTATTAATAATTTACGATTGATAACCCGAATCGATTACTTCATGAATCGGTGCCATGCTCTCTTGTTTATTTGCATTGCATCAGAATCGGTGCCATGCTTTCTCACGATACACACAGACTTATGAATGATAAAGATCATCAAAAGGGACTATCAAATCGCCCCTGATTTTCAACTTGAATAAATTACACCATCATCTAGATGAGCGTACATAATGTCTGTGTGTATATTGTATCAAAAAGCTTGATAATATAATCTAACAAAACAAGCCTCTTCTTGCATCATAAAATGCCATACGAAAACATTAAGCCAAGTGTCTTGTTCTTCTATCCACGTGGTGAATGCCCCATGAGATAATACAATCTGGGATACTACCAAATTATATATAGTGTTACAGAAGTATAATTGAATTTTCCGAAAAATTTGGCTTGGTAACATTATTGAGTTGTAAAGTATCATGCGACTATATCTGTGCGAGATCAGAAAAAGCAACAGGCAATAATCGCAAATCTTCATTAAGCATAAACATTTCCTCAAACCACTGCTATAAAAACTAGTATGGCTTCAAGAAATCAATGTGTTAATATCAATGTGTCAGTTGATATCCTGTGCGTCTGCTTTACAAATTATGACACCAAAATCATTCCAGAAATTCTAAGAATCGTATCACTATACTGATCTCTGAAATTATTGCTATCTTTTTAAAATCCTATATTGGAAATATCACAAACAAAAAATATACAATATCACGTGGATGGAATGGATTTTTACTAACCCCTTCAAGGATATTTACAATTCGTTTCCTATCGTAACCCAGTAATCACGGAGATTATTTTTTCGTCCAAATATTTCAAGATATTTTCCTTTTTTGGGGAGGATGAAAAAAATAAAATAAAATTTTTAGGACAGCAAGAGCAGCCAACAATTATTCTATTCATCAAAATGATCGGAACAGAATAGCAATACCATCTGGTACGAGTTCTTCAATCATTTCGTATAATTCTTCGGGTTTTTGGCTTTGGCCTCGTCTTTCGGAAAATATCACATCTGATGAAATAGAATATCGAGTTCCTGGTGGATCTATTCCCTTGTTTTGAAAAAGTATGATGATGAAAATTACTCCGGAAATGCACATTCCAATTATCGAACTATATGAACATAAGAAAAGCGCGTACCTTTTTTCCTACTAAACAAGTTTCTTTGGCATGTTGCAAATAGAACCCATGACCTTTTGCCATTCTTCTATTTACGGTCTGTTTAACCCATGTGATATCATCTACGTACCTGGATATAACACATACACAAAGAAATTAAAGGTTTTACGATTACAAAGAATCCAGAAAATTACGATTGTCATCATAACTGTCAATCCAAAACTTACGTATATCCCCACTTCTTCATCATATCGAACACCTTCGCATATTTATTATTGATGACCCAAATGAAGAGGAATCCGTTCTGTTGTAGTTTCGCGATCGGCAATTCCTCGATACACACGTCGGGAAGTTGTTGATACGCAATGGCTACCTTTTTTTAGGTGGTGGATGAACCTGTTTTATTTGAATGATGGATTCATCTTTCAAGGAAAAGAGAAGCAGGAATAGCAAGAGGCAACGGTGTAATTTCGCGACATCCATATATATTGTATGGATGTGGTGATATTTTTTTACTTACACCGCGTGTGGGTGCGTGAGTCGCAAGTTGCCATGGTGGGTCCATGAGAATTACGTCGAATTGGCATTCATTTGCGAGTTCCTTTAGTAAAAAAGAGGATAGCATTAAAGTAAAGCAGCTCGGAGATTCGTTTTATAACTTGGTTAAGAAAAGTAATACAGGGAAAAGAGAGAAAATCCAGAGATCTAAAAATTATCATAAAGAAATATGTAAACCTTCACCTACATCCCAATCAAAAGTCAGCACATTAGCCTTGATAGGAATACACCAATCTGGCGCTTCGAATTCTTCCCATCGAGCATCTACAAAATTCGAAAAAATCATTAATTCAATGCTAATAATATACATCATTGTCTCTCGGTAACAGGATCAGTTAAATGTAAATACCGTTCTCCACTTCGGGCTGTGCTCCACCGTCATATCCATTACCATTACTATTATTATTATTATTATCACAAGGAACGATAGGGACACTAACACCCGGTTCATGTGCCACACTTGTACCTGTAATTGCTTCTAAATTTGCAATTTCGTCCATAAGCTCATCGATTCTTAGATGTAGCTCTGTTTCGCGTTTCAACAATTTCCGAAGTTGTGCTGCAGCATTGTTAGTAGTAGAAGTTTTAGTGGTACTAGTAGTTGTCTCGGAGGCTTGTGGTGCAGTCGCAGACGGAAGAGGAAGTGAAGAGGTAGGAGTAAGGGACGCGATTATACTTGGCAGGTTTGGTAAAGCTTCTATCACTACGCTAGGCTCGTGAGTTAAATGTTCAATGTCAATTTCTTCGCCGCTGCTACTGTTGTTTTCTTCCCCTTCCCCTTCTCCTTCTCCTTCTTCTGTACTTTCGACGACGTCAGGTTCGAACGTGTCATTATTAGACTGAGACATTTTTTTATTAAAGAACACGCGTGCGAAATTTTTTAAATATCTCGGATCAGTTTATATAGATTCCCATTACTCTTATTCAGATTATATCGATATATATATGTGATTTTTCATCGCATGCTCTAAAGGAGCGATTTCTTTCTCAATTTGATAACTTGATGGTTCGTGATGTTTTATTGCTTCAAATAAAAAATTACATGTCAACAATAAAATCAATTAACAATATTATGAGAAAATCTACAAAAAACTAAACTAGGAATGATAGAAAAAGAAAGTCTAATTATTGATTATTAAAAAGATCAGACTCGATTTAATATATAATTTATAGTTTATATATATTTAATATTATTATGATGACAAGCTAGTAACAACAAAGAAGAAATAATAATATAGGCAAGAATGAAATTGAAAAGTAAATAGTATCAGCAATAGTCGTAACAAACAGTAATGTATTGAGTGAGACGAATAATGAAGCAAAAAGGTGAAGGGAGAAAAAGATAATATAATAATAACAACTAATCTAAAAGTAAATGTCCAATTAATAATATGAATCTATCTATATTCCTTATGCTCTTAAATTTGTATGATGCTGAATGTATGCATGATTATGATACCTTGCGTGAGAAGACAGCGGAATTATCGAGCATAAGGATGATAATTGTGTTGTCCTCGGACTTGAGCACTACTATGTAACGGTCCTCCATTGTTATTCGATTGCATTCCACTGGAATAAGAGGAACGAACCGGACCACTGGTCCGAGAACTTCCACGATTGTAAAGTGTAGGTCCTTGATAATGATGGTCACCTCGACTTCCATATCCACCATCAGCATCTCGACTTGGTGAGCCACGGTGATAACTTCCACTTCCCCCAACTATTCTACTTGCACTTGATGATGGGCCGCCACCCAATGGTGATGCTCCACCTGTTGATGATGCTCCACCTGATCCATAACCAGTATCGCTTCCCCGGTACCATTGGTTATATGAGCCGCCACCTCGACTGCCTGAACTACTACTTCCATATCCTCCTCCGCCATATTGACCATATGAATTCGCATATCTAGTAAGTGAAAAAAGAACGAGAGATTATAATGAAGCCATATTTGTAGAATTCATCAAATCAGCAAATCAGCTGACGAGATTTTTTTTACTTGCCTCGAATAGTATGCTGCTTGAGTCATAGCATTATACCCGGAATACCCAGCAGGATAATTAGACGGATAGTTATAACCCGAATATTGCCCATAACCTGCGTAATTTGGATATGAGCCAGCGGTATAGCCCATGCCTGAATATCCCATCCCACCATCTTTGCCAGCCGCGGCACCATAACTTTGTCCATATCGAGAGGTTGATCCTGCTGATGGCGGCATAACAGAAAGCGCAGCAGCTGATGCTTGTGGTCCTGATGATCCGCTGAAACTTGGTTGATTATATAGTTGCATTCGCTGCGACTTATGTTTTGGCATAGCACGTTTCACTTCCACCTGATAATTTCAAGAATAAACTGAGATAGTAAATCTTTACGACAAATAGGGTTCACAAAAATTTAATAGAATCTTTACCGGCTTATTCTGAATTTCCAAGTCATCTCGTGCCATCGCTTTCTCGACAGGTTCCGACGAATCAAATGTAATAAATCCGAAGCCACGAGGTCTTCCAGTTTCTCGATCAACCATCAATGTGGCATCGATGACGTTACCGAATTGCGTAAAGAACTCTTTAAATTCTTCTTCTGTGACTTCTGGAGCGATTCCACCGACAAATATTTTCTCGGTTTTTTCCTGTTCTTCACGCGGAATCGCACGTTTAGGATCAATCTATATTTTCATGTTATTATTGAGGAAAAATGAGATTAGCATTATATTCAATTTCAAGCCTTTCTCATATAATGTTCAGAATCATTTTTCGCAATGTTCAAGCTTATCGATCAAGCACCATCGCATCATTTAACTAAAAATAAACCTCTCTCTCATTTAGCAAGATAAGAATTACTCACAATTTTACCATCTAGTTGATGTTCTTTCACCAATACAGTATTGACAACGGATGGGTCAACAAACGTGAGGAATCCAAAACCTCTGGATCGTCCCGTGTTTGGATCTCGCATAACTATGACATCCGTAACTTCACCGAATTGTGAAAAGTGTGATTTTAGGCTATCTGCAGTAGGAGGGGTAGTTGGTATGTGTAAAGTTACGGTATATGAGAGAATCGAATATTGCGAATTATTTTTTTTTTGTAATTATTAGGAATGAGATGATAAAGATGATGGGTGTATAGAGAAAGAAAGAAGCAAAAAAATGGTGAATATCATGTTAATTTAGAAAAATAAGAGAAAAGCTTAAAACAAAAGCGAAAGATCAAAGTAGAGCAATTAGACAATCGCCGCGTCTATTAAAAAGTCAAACATTTCACCACAGATACGCTTCAGTTCATAAAGACAATAATACTGGTGCGCGCAATGATTTATTTCTCTTTCTATGTGGCAACTCTTGAAATAATTTTCATCGCATGTTTTTATTATCTTTTGATCATCAACTCTCTTCTAAGTATTATCTAATAATAATCTCTATACTCGACATTATTCCATGATAATATTTGATGTGCCAAAGAGAGAGGAGAGAACAAGAGAGTATTTTTGTGTGTGTGTGTGTGTGTGTGTGTGTGTATGCGACACGTCATCAAATATAAACTAACTTCCTATCTTCTTTATCTAAAATAAACTATAGATTAATCGTATAACCCTAACATCTAAACTTCTCTTACCATCAGTGGTTTCCCAATTAAGACCTCCTATGAACATCTTTCTAAAAAGTGTATGTAGGTAGTAGTAGTATAGATAAGAGGTAGTAGTAGTAGTAGTAGTAGTAATGATAATACATATAACGATGGAAATATACCAAAGTAATATATATATATTTTTTTTTGACATATATAATAATAAAAAGGGCAAACGGGGAAAAAAAATTAAATTATCTATTAGTTGAATTGTGACTTTTTTATCTAAAGAAATAACATGTGTGGGTTACTTTTCCTAACTGATCTCTCTTTTCTCTCTCTCCCTCTCTTGCTTGCTTATTTTTTCTCTAATCTCGTCTGATGATCGTATTAACTATTCTTGTGTATTATCTATTATTAATATAGACTTGAAACTTTAAGTTTCGAGTACTATCCTTCTGTTCCATCCACTTTTCTATTATACGCCTCTCTCTTTAATTATTGCGCCACGGAAACAATCTCTGTTTTACACACACTATACGTTTTCATTTGGCCGTTCGTTCGTAGCATGCACGCATGCGTTGCGTGTGTATGTGGGGAATCACACAAAAGAGAAAAAGTTTGAGTGTGCGGTGGCAGCGCGACGGGGAGAGACCAAAGAGAAGACCTGGAAAACATTATATTATCTTTTCACCCTATTACTTACCCTTCTTCATGTATAGAAGCTTTATAATCTTTTTTATTATCGTATAGTTTGAGGTCGCCATCTTCAGAACGACGTTGGTCGTCTACGCTGTGTATCTTTGAATCGGACGATTGTCGTGATGATGCACTATTCGCTGCCATCGCAATATTATTATTCTTATTTGACTAAATACTGTTTGGGGAACAGGAAAAGAGAACAGGAAAAGAGGGGGGTGTCGCATGTAGCGGGAAAGGGATTAGATCAAGTCTTGTCAAAAAGTAAATTGTGCTTATATTTAATGAGTACACTATACACTAACAAGTAAAAGAGGTGCTGTTTAGATTCAGCAAACTTCAACTGTTATCACGAAGTTTACAAACCTATCAAGCCTAGTAAGTAACTAAACCAAGAATAATTCAATGTCAAGATGTTCGCTGTTGATGATTTAGTAGTTCTTAATTATCAATAGTGAACTTGGGACAAAGCAACAATAACGATAATAATAAATTTGAGAAATACAAGGTTGTGTTTTTTGTTTTTTTTGGCTAGGGGGATGATAATCGCCGGCTTAAAGTAATAACTCATTAAACCATTGACGTCAGATCCTCAATGACCATGACACATCAAGCTTAAATTGGCTATTCAATAATGGCATCGCATAATTGATGCCCAATTCCGGACACAAGTCACCAATGATTGCATGTCTGATACAAATAACAATATCGATATATATTTTAAACCTCAAAACTCTTACAAAGAGGTGACTTCCTCCGTGGACTATAAAAATAGCCTAACAACTCTCTCATTCATAATTTTAATAACAAAATGGAGGATTACAAAAAAGAAGTACAATTCTTCTTCATATGTAAATCTATAAATAAATAAGATATTTATCCACCATATTGCCATCATACTTCGCTCGCTTCTAATATTTTGTCTACTTCTGCAATCACCTGAATTTACAAAAATAAGAAAGATGTCAGAAATAAAAAATTAAGAAATGATTTTATTGTATGTAACTTACCTGATGAATATCAGGACGTTCTTTAGAATCGACAACTAACATAAAAGAAATGAGATCCCGAAGCTGTGCAGAGTATCTAAAAGAAAATGAGATGGATGCAGTCAGTAAGAAGATTAAACTATCTCAAAAATACAACCTAAAAAATAAATCATACAATTCGTGTGTTGGAAACCGGAATTGCTTATTGAGCACCGCTAGTTTTATCGAACCACCTTGTTCAGTACTTGTCTCAAATGGCGATTTTCCATATGCCATAGCATAAAGTGTACATCCCAACGACTACATATGATTAACGGAAAATCCCATGATGTATTTACTTAGTGTGTGTTAAAATTAAATATTGATAACGACATTAAGTTCTCTCCTTACCCATATATCAACTTTCTCGGTGAGCTCAGTATTTGTCGGAACATCAAATAATTCTGGGGCCCTATAAGGCATTGTGGAATTAGTTGCAGCCAGGTCTTGATGTGACAAGGCTTGGGCACGATTTTGAACCTTTATACGTGCACGAACTAATGATCCAAAGTCCATTAGTATCGCTGTTTCTCCATCGTCCGATATTAACACATTGCTGCATCAATTGTATCTGTTAGTATGGATTTGACATCAAAACATGGCAGCGCGTGCAAAAAAATACACCATTTACCCGGGTTTAATATCACGATGCGCAAAGGGAACAACAGTCCTGCTGTCTTGTGGTTGTTCATCATTATTATTTTCTGCATTATTTGAACGGATGGGGACTGATGGCAATTGATAGGTGTGAAGAGCACGCACAGCGTCGCAAATCTGACGAAATAGTTTTAACATGTATTTTTCTTCAAAATGGCTTTGATTTACTAACTTTTCGTTGATGGCATCTTGCAAGTTACCGCGCTATTTGTTCGATTAATTTTAGATCAAGATGACTCGCATATAAAATTTGCTAAAGATGGATGAAATAATCATACCTTATAATATGGCAAAAAAATGTATACTACTTTCCCGCTATCTTTATCTTGGACGACACATGTATCCTATAATAATAATGTATGTGTTTTTGAGATTCATGCATAAAATTTCGATCTGGCTTTCTTTCTCTCTGATACTGTAAAATTAACCCATTTGATAAAGTAGCGACGAATATGAACTTGCCCATCGAAAGCTTTATGCTCCCATATACTCTTTCTATCCCCAACATGTATAACTTTCCGTTGTATTGAGAATACAACAAAAAAACTATCTTCGTCCATTTAAAAAAAACAGTAGTAAATAAAACCTACAATAACTTTGATTATATTCTCATGTTGAAACAACTTGTACATCTCCACTTCTCTCATTGCATCTTTCACAGCTCCACTCTCAGAAGGACATCGGATTTTCTTTAGCGCAAAATGCTGACCTGTGCGAACTTCTTTTACCAGATATACGAACGAAAAACCTCTGAGAATTATATATATATATATATATGTTGTAGGAGGTAGAAGGTAAAAGATAAGTAAAACACCGATTTGAATAAAGATTTTTCAACGCGAGTATTAGACAGTGATTCATGTGTACAACAAAAAAGAAAAGTAATCCGAGAAACTGGTACTGCACATTTACCCTTCTCCGAGTAACTCTATCACCTTGAAGGTATGTTGATTAATGCACAGAGTGGGATTTGGAAAGCAGCAAGAGGTAACCCCGTAAAGGGTATCACGGATCGTGGAAACAAAAGACATTATTTGAACGGACGCTTTTCGCTGCTGCCCGACGTTATTTTATCTAACTTGATATCGACATAAAACAGCCAAACAGGATAATAATCAGGATACATCGACCTTATTTTGGATACGAGGTACACACTACGTATAAATTAGGCAGTGCACATAATTGAATTCCCCTTTTTTCTTTATTTCCTGTGCTTCCTGTTCTGTTCATTCTGTTCAAAGGAACTGAAAACCACACATTTGTCAACGCTCATCTTGAAAAAGGTAAATAAAAAATTGTATTTCTTTGGAATTCTAGAGATTCTCTGCTCATTACGGTGGATGTAATTTTAGGTACCCAAAAAAGAACATTACAAACAAAATTCAAAGAATGGATCAAAACAAACAAAACAACCCCGCTCTCGAAGAAATCAAAACCTTTTCAGGAGACCGTCTCAAGCATGTAGAACCCAAGGAAAAGATCGTGCTGCCAACAGCTTCGGGTAAATTTTAAGATTAGCATCATTGAATTCTTGTTATTTATTATTTGATTCATTAACTCATTCAATTGATTTTACCCTGGACTCTATTTTTTCCTACGCGCATAGATATTGCACAAGAAAAGCAAGAAAAAGCTAGTGAAACTAAATGATGATATGAACGAACTTTATTATTTCTCGCGCTATTTTGATAATTGGTCGAAGATTTATTTAACAAACTTCAAATCTAATGCTACAAGTTCTAAATTTAATAATTTATTAATTCGAACTCTAAATATAACATAGCGATAGAAATTTTTCTTCTGCACGTGTGATATACTTGGAAATAAACTTTTGCTCAGCGCAAGAACTGACTTTTATTGCTATTTGAAATAATATACATATATCATATATTAATTAAAAATTCATTGAATGTCCATTTTCATATATCCAACTACTGATCCTCACCATCTTTCAAACCTCTAACCCACGTTTCTGTATTTTAGCTTTATTATCGTTATTCGCGATGCCTAGCTGCAATTCTCGACTAATATCGGCCAATCGCTCTCGCATCTGTTCGACATCTTTTATTTTTTCTTCTAACGCGGATAACTCTTTTTCGAGAGACATGCGTTCCTCGGGAGTTCCGATGGTTGAGAATTCCCAGGTGCCATGTTCGCCGGTCACTCGTAGTAGGTGGGTATGGTATTTTGTCAGTGCGGGACGATGAGAAATTGTAATGAGAGCTTTTGAAATATTAAAAAATGGAGTTAATATTTTTATTTGTTTTATAATAAAAATTGTTTTTTCCCTGTCAAGGGATTTCGTTTACTTACTAATGCCAACGTCCTTGGCATGCTGATACATTAGTCCCTCGACGTCACTGCTAACTGCACTTGTGCCTATAAATAAATAAATATCAAACAATATTAACATATAAAAACAAACTAGCAAGCTTATTTGATCAATGCTAAGATTATCAACGTACATTCATCGAGAATAGCAAATTTCGGATGATGATAAAATAGTCGACAAACGCCAATCTTTAAGTCCGGAAATAAATGTTAAAAAAAATAATGAATCGATTCATACAACAGGATAAAAATATCAACAATATAAGAAGACTTACTCTTTGTTTTTCACCACCAGAAAACACGTCTTTCCATTCTTTTTTGGTATCCCATCCTCCCTCACGATTTAAAATATATCCTAGATGTACGTGATCCAGAATCTCTATCAATTCATTATCGGTACGACCAGCACGGATCATATCTGCATGCGAATGAGGATAAATGAGTCTACGTAGAGAATCAAATTAGAAAATAATGTTAACAGAAAATTCCGCAGTATGATGTAGTTGATGCGTCGTGACTTACTGATCTCGAAGTGTTCCTATACTGAGATACGGACGTTGAGGAATGTAGAAAATATCTCCAACATTTGGCCGAGCAAGTCTTCCGCCTAGATAGAGAAGAGGATTTATTGATGAAATAAATAAATAAAATATTCTACTAAAGTAAAATTAGAAAACAGCTAAACTTACGGAATACAGGCCATAGAGTACTAATAACACGAGCAATGCTCGTTTTGCCTACACCATTTGGACCAGTTATGAGTAAATGCTCTCCCGGATTTACTGTGACATTTAATCCTTTAATAAATTCCTCTCCCCCACGATCATTTCCAGGATTAGGAGCTACAATAGGAACATTTTCGAACTTAATCCCGTTGAATCCATAATCTATTATGCCACGGACATCATCCAAAGAATAAAATGTTTCTTCGGGACCAAGAGAATCAGGACGAGGTACCGAGGTGTATTGGTTAGCATGAAGAGAATGCAAAACCGAAAGCAGACTATAGACTCGCGAGGTATGACCAGCTAGTTCGGCAAGTTCTTTGTATGAATACATCATTCTTCCACCAGCATCTGCTAGGGTTATCATAATCCTATATAGCAAGCGAGCATAATTTAACTTTTAATCATGAAGTTTTTATAATAAAAGAAACATTTAATTACCTTTTATTGGTAATGAAGGCCTTGGTTCGATCTCTTTCTTTTCCATCACTAGCACTACCACCTTCCAATTCTGATCTCCCACCACGACCACCCCATTCCGGATAAAACACTGGCAAAGCACACATCAAAAGTCCAACAGTACTCCAGAAATACTTTACAATAAAGTCTTCAAACATATTATACGCTATTCGAATCTTTAGTACGGAATTAATATGTTTGATAAGACGCATATAAGTGCGATCAAGAATGGAGTGTTCCAAATCAGCACCGTTATAAAACGCGATTTCCTCAGCGTTGGTAATAAGACGCGTGTGGACCGAACGAAAATCACCTTCCAACTTTGCCTCTATTGCGGCTAATTTCCCGAATGCTGGCGTGACCGCGCGTAGTAATCTTGCGGTGATCATGTAGTTCGAAAAAATACCTAACATTCCGGCAAGTCCTATACTCTTGGTCAGCGCGTAGTTGAATATTATTGTGTCCAATATGGGTTTGCCCAGATTTGAGTAGATGGAGGCGAGACCATCACAAAACCGAGATATATCTGTTGTAATAAACCTTGAGGCGATATTAATTGTGAGATTTGAAAAATATATATATATTTATTGATTTACGTGAAGAACATAAAATTTACTTACTGGTCGGCACCGTCGATTCTTCCGTCGAGATTAATTATTTTGTAATATGCGTTCTTATCGTCCAAGTAGAGATCGTGGACGTATCTTGTAAGACGCGTTCTAAACGCAATGGATAATTTGGATTGAAGAAAACGAATCTTCAAATTCGTTCAAAAATGATATATAGCCAGTTTTAGATTATAAAATTCTATGGTGAAGCTTTTGAGGAATTCCACTAAAGAACATTAAATAATAAATGCGTGAGAAAAACACACACACCATACTGTTGGTATATACTGCTGGAATAGCGATAGCAAACCAATAACCTAACCCCTTTACGAACTCTTGGCCATTAGCCGCCACCTTAAATTAATCAAATAAAAGCTGTGATGATGATGTTTAATCCAAAAAGTAGAAATCAATTTATCAAATATTTCCTTACCAAATCCCTGACAATTCGTCCATCCAATCTGGCCACCACAACACTTAAATATGTCCGTAGAACAAGAAAAGACGAGTGTAACAATAAAATGAATATTTCTTTTGATCGAAACTTTGGAATGATAATCTTCAAAAGGGCCAATAATTGTCTAAAGAATGTTTTGTTCACTCCAACACGCTGAATGTTGACATCTAAGGCAGTGAACGCATGTTTATGTTTAACAAAAGTCTCAGGTTTCGTTGGAAAAATTGTGACATTAGTGGTACGATTCCTGTATGGAATGGTTATTGTGTATTTACTGTTCCCTGACACAGGTCCATCAGGAATGGTTTGATTTCTGTTAGGAGAATGTGAAGAAAGGTTTCTTTGTGCTTCCAGCTGCTTTCGATAAAGATGATTTGTTATATATGCTAAAAAAATAATTGCTGTTGTAGCAAATATCCTCTTTTTGTTGCTTGCATGGGAGGATCGAGTGACCGGTTCAATAACAGCCTGAATGGCGGCAGGAATATCTGTAGAAGGTTTCGAAAAGACTGCCATGAACAAACTTGTCTTTCCTTGTAAGTAAGATCAATAAATTTGTTAACGATCGATTTAGCGATCGATCTATTGATTGATCATCTATCAAAACGATGGACATGTACATGCGCACTTGCACTTTTTAGTGCAACATCAAAAAATAAAGATCTTAGCAATTTTTTTTGGTTTTACATGTCAAAAAAATTTAAATTTAGGTAAAATATGGTAAGTGCGATGACGTTTTAAGATTTCCTGACATAATATAGCGACAGTCAATTATTTAAAATTTCCTGGTACCTTGCGCGGTACGTGACATTATTGGTTAGCTATAAGTTGCACCTGACCAAAAAATTTTGCGCATCAGAAATCTTTGCCAGGTTTTGTTGATCTCGGAAAATTCTACAGTAATATTAAAGGTAGATTTTGTTAATTTGTGTCGGTCGTTGCTAATTTTTTTCTTATATAGCGATAGTGATAAACCACATCTTTCTTCCGATGAAATCATTATTAGCAGAATTATTCAATATCAAAATTAATAATAGCTACCGGATATCGATTAACACGAATTTTTCGGGTGCGAGATGTTGATCATTTAGAATTTTATTTGTATTCTAGAACTTCTATAGTGCAGGTCGCAATTGCTGCGCCACCGGCCAAATTTTCAGTTGTATATCAATAGTAAAGCGTGCATTTAGAGGGGGTGTGCACTTATAAAGGACAAAATATATAGAGCTCTTATGAGTTGGGATCCAGCCATGCTGTGCATTTAGAGAGGTTTGTCTGTATATAATTGATGACAATTTCCAGTCACACTTTCTAATTACATTCTAGACTGTCTTTCAAATCGTGATCAGTCTGTATATTTAATTTTTACATTCACTTTTTCTTTTAGATAAGTTCATACAAAAATAGTAAATGACACGAATATCTTCAGAATTTTATATATGCCATCAACAAATGTTTGCGAAGTATTTTGTCTGGAATAATGATCCTCCTGAAGATACCTATGATAATCGTTTGTGGGATCATCATGACAGAACAAGACAAGTGAATATAAAAGATGCGTTAACACGTTGGACGTGGTGAAAAAGGTATGTGAGCTTGGAGTGCAAAAGAATTGGAAACCAAGTTAAAAAGATGTGTGCCAAATATATTATCGATCACAACGAACTTGGCGAACTCGAAATTTACCAAAAGTAAAAAGGTGCGGATTAGACTTGCTTTATTATAAAAGAACTTGTAGAAATTGACATTAACCAACAGCAAATTCTGCAAATCTTTTCTGTAG